TGTGTCATGCTAAGTGAGCACACAGTAAGAGGACTAAGAACAGGTAAGAAATTTAAATTTGGGGATTAAGGTCCTCAGCGCTGACTCCAAATAGTCTTAGCAGGTGATTTGTGGCTCATCCTCTTGGGGCTTAGGCTGTGACGATCTGACCATCAAATCAGGTGTCTACTTAACAGTGCAGCCAGGTTAATCGGGGAGATGGCTGAAGAAATGGTTCCACATCCTGTTGGTAAAGCTGTTTGAAAGGGTATTTAAAGAATGATCCAATTATGTTGGATCAAAATCGTTATAATGTGTTCCAAAACAGGTCCAGGAAGGATTCCGACAGCAGTTATTGGCAGGAAGCATTTACAGAACACATGCTAACATCATGAGGCCTGTTTCCATCATTTAGGAAGGAGAAAATGAGGATTCACACTTTCACAGATCTTGTTCAACATAACTTCTACGGGATAAAAAAAATGGCTGAATTTCTTTACTGCTCACACTTGAAGACAACTTTGCTTCCCTCATGTTGACATAAGGGCACACAAACCTATGTCTAAGAATAGTTTTATTGATTACAATTACAATTAAAGTCTGGCAAAAGTCCCAAAGACTCTTTGATGTGTAGAATGTTATCTGCTCACTAACTTGTTTGCTTACAGAAAAGGTCTAACAGCACGTCTTCCGAGCAAAGTCAAAGTATTTTCAGAATGGAAAAAAGACTGGTGTCACAGAGAGGGATGCCACGCAATTAATTGATCATATGGGGACACATTTAGACAGTTTCTCCGTAATGATATCCATGGTGTCACTCACACAAGAAAGTGGGAGAAGTAGCTGCGGGAAAAATTTAAAATATCATTATTGTGTAATCATTCAAGTTCCAAACATTTATTGAAGAAGCCCCTTCACCATGTGGCTTTACACTGCTGGACAGCGACAGGCAATGCGAGTCCAAAATAGTTGTAGTCTTCATAACCTTATATAGAGGTTATGTTTCTATCAAGTAGTTTTCACTGTAGATGAACAGGATTATTTAAAGTGGACCTATCATGCTATATTTGAATAATATAGTGTAGGACCATACCTATATCAGGCATATTTATACTTTTTATTTTTCAAAATACCAAACAGATCATGCATTTTAGCCATTCCTCATTTCGCTCAATTTAACACTGTCTTTACATGGGCTGATTCTGTGAGAACAGCACCATCTACAGGCCTGGCATATGTACTACAGCGTCTCCAGCGCTTTCCAACGGCAATGTCCGTGGCTGTCTCCTCCTGATTGGTGGAGTTGGCCCAATAGCCGTAGCGCCACTTCTGTGACGTCATAGAAGTGTTCAAATCTGGATCAGTCTGTATCAGATCCGTTGCAGCCCCTTTTTAAGAGATTTGGGTATGGAGGAAAATAGAGAGGGTTGTGTTTTCTGACACTGGGTGAGTTCCCTGGAACACCGGGGACACATATTCATGTATAAAAGACGTACAAAAGTGCATTTTGCATGATAGGTCACCTTTAAGTTAGAGAAAGGAATGCAAGGAACTTTTAAAGATAGTCTGGATGTTTAATCATTATTTGAATGGTCAACTAATCTATTGATTTATTGCTTCATCGTTTAGTTTATAAAAGGCCAACACAATGAAAAATGGCTTTCCATATTTTAGAGCACAAGGCTTTAGTCTCAAACCGCTTTTTGTGCAAGCAGTTCAAAACCCTCAAAATATTCAATTTTATATCATCCAAGATCAAGAAACTGCTATACCGATACACTAAACTGCTGCTTTTATATTAAAATAAGCTGAAAGTCAAATCTTTATATATCTTATAACCAGGAATGGAATCTGCTTGGACATTAGTCTGACTATTTTGTTTGTCTTACCAAGAATTGTATTCTTCTCTGAGAGGAAAAGCCTCAGAAACAACAGCAGCCTTCATCGTCCACAGCTCCTTAAGGCATTGAGACAAACCACACAAACTCTACAGAGAAACTAAATCTGGAATACATTTGGGGATTTACTTGAAGACTAAACCATAATTGAAGGAACTGCAAAGACTAACGTAACTTTATGTTTAAGATACTGCCTTTATGTAGCTTTGGTCTGGAAACAAAATGCTTTTACGCTAAAATAATAACATACTTTAATATAAAAAGGCCATATTTTAAGTTTATTGCTGTATGCTGCTTTATAATCTACCTCATCACTGAAATATAACCTGTACAGTTAATAAGCATCTGACAGTAAACACACCTTTGAAACATTTTACGAGCAAATCAACTAAACCCACAGTGTTTTTAGCTGCTGTCTGCCTGGTTTAATTAAATACACATGTGGCTGAGTCTAGACAATAATATACTCCGTCCTGTCATACACCCACCTCTGTACAGCTGTGGGTCATTTCGATATAGTTACACTGAAGTGCCATTTAAGGTCTTGTTGCAGGATGATTGCAACATCTTGATGAGCATTCAGACTTAGTTTTCAGACTTAAAGGGACATGTTTTAAACTTGTGTCCTAATGTGGACTTTTTGCATTTTGATTTTGACTCCCAAAAGTCTTTTCAAGTATTTTACTATGTAGACAAAAGTGAGGGTAGTTGTGTATTTCTGTGTCAGCCAAGTTTGTTTCCACCAGACAGACTGTTTACTTTTACAGCCCACAGAGACCAAGTCTAATACAGGTTCCTTCTCTTTCTCCCACTCCATTCATCTATAGCTGGAGAAAACAAGTGCACACCAGACATGGCAGCATATTTTCATTCCCGTCTAGGAATGCTTGTGTACGTGAATTACACAAAATGGATTACTCATGGGTGATGATTCCCCCAATCCTGCTTTTACTACGCACTACTACAGCTTTAAGAATGATGCAATCAAAGGGCATGAGTGCAGCATGAAAATATATTATGTAGTGTTGATTTAGAGGGTTTTACACATAGTACACATATTGGTTTTAAATTTAAACCATTGTCCTACAATTGAGCTTTTCTTCCATGTATATTTTTTATTATAGCTTGATTTCAGTTTAAAACAGAACAGATAAAGTTTGGCTGCTTTGGAAAAAATTGGATTTATATTCCCCACCCTTCACATTTTTAAACGCTTTTCAAGTGAAAACAGATATATTTCAACAGAGGTGATAAGATAAGAACAGAAAAGATAAATACACTTAAAAACACTTGACTTGAATGATCCCTGTGACATTGAAATACAATTAGATAAGATTAACATGTTATTACTACCGTGAGAAAAGGTTCTCTAAGAAAATAAATAATGCAATCGTTTTTTTTGCCGGGTAAGTTCTTAGCTTTGTGAAGAGTGATATGAGAGAAGGGCAATGTCATGTGAGGCAGCAACATGTATTGTTCTGAGAGTAGCCCCCAGCTGTCCGGCCCCTAGATCAATCTGAGAGGTCACTAGATGGTTAAAGGGATAAAGACCAAGGAAATGTTTGTTTTTTTATATTGACATTTACATTTTAAGATATCACAACACAAGCCAAAACATTTAATCCACTGATTTACAGTACAGGATTAAAGAGATGTTTACAACTGGCAGGATACTTCTGTTAAAAACGTGCTTTTAGACACTAATTACACAACACTCACTACAGGCGTGTCGGGGGTGTTGCAGGGGCTTCAAAATAAGCAGCGTTGATAAGACTGGTGTATACCAACTGTCTAAATCTACTATCTTAATAAACCGGTGTACCGGTGTACACAACTATGAAACACCCCTCTTATCACAAACGTCTTTCCCTATCCAACTCTGGGCAGATATGAGCCAAACAGCTGAAACAAAAGCAGCTTTGCCTCCACTCTCCTTTTGAGTTTTCAATTACAGACGGCCAAGACCAACATTTGGACAGTTGGAGATGGTGTATGAGGGAGGGCGGAGATGATAGAGTTACACTGGGCAGGGTTAAATAAATAGATAACAGCCCACCTTCCCTCAGCACTGCAAGACCTTTATCCCATTTTGTATAAAGATTGAAGAACCTCAAAGAAAAACGAATACAGCTATAAATGAATCAAAGACTGGACACATAAACTAAAGATAAGACTAAAGGTTTACAGCTTCAGTGGTGCTTTGAGCTAAATGCTAATGTCAGCATGCTAAGTTGCTCATAATGCCAATGCTAACATGGGGATGCTTAGCAATACAATGATTGGAATCACATGAGCTTTTTGGTATTTTCTCAAAATGAAATATGACTTGATGATGGATCTCAAGGACAAAAACATTTTTCTTATAAAGATCAAAATCTAGCACAAAGACACAATAATATCTCGCATAAATCCCATGGCAATCTGTCCAATAGTTGTTTACTCATTTAGCGTAAAGACCAAATTGTCTGGCTCATTGTGTCACGAGAGGAGGGTCAGCAGGAGTCATCCTATGGAGGAAATGAGTGTCAGTACACACATTTCATAACAGCCTGTGCAACATTTGTTGAGATATTTCAGTCAGGACCACAGACAGTGGTGGACCAAACAAGCAACTTCCATTTCTAGAGCCAACACTGCTAGCGTGGATAACAAATCACTCTCTGTTTTTGTTTATAATTCTTCACAACGTCCTGATTTATGGCTTCCCTCACGGGGCCAGAAGATGGTTAAAGTGTGTTTATATTATGGTCACAAGGCATGTAGCTGACACTAGAGCGTGTCTACGATTCCAGAAGCTTTTAACCGGGGCAATAGCCACAGTATTATTCATAATAATGTGTTGTTTTCACCTGCATTAGGTTTTATTTTAGCCAAAAGCCATCAGGTAAAATGGTGGTCAGTCATCGCTGTAAAAATAGCAAATTATTTGAAGAACATTGTTGATCATTATTCAAGACAGAGTGTTTGAATTTGTTGTTTTTTTACCTTTTTTACCTTCCATTCACCAAAACCAAGAGGAGGTCAATCTAAACATCCTCCGTCATGTTTGTTGTCATGTGATTTATGACCTGTAATCTTCAGTAAGGTCAACAAACATCCTGACATTTGTTCTCTGTATTTAAGGTTCTGCTGCTGTGCTTACTGGTGGTCATCCTGGCCGTGGCGTTGTCTCTGAGGAAAAGCAGTGATGCCAAAGGTAGGCGATGATGCCCATTTCTCCGTCTAGATTTAAATGCTATGGCATTTTGTTGAATGCGGTTTCAGCAAAAGCTAAGTTGAGGAACTGCAAGCCATCGAGGTTTCAATAAACATGGAATGGTTAAGCAAATGTGCTTACAAGTTAAGAAGCCATTCTCCTTTTTTTTGGATCTCAATGATACACAAAAATATGTTTGGTTGGAAATACTCATCATAAAGAGAGCTATTCTTTACTTCAAAAAAACCAACAAAAAAACATTGCACCTTCTACATTTTAAAGGAAATTATCACATTAAGACAATATGTTTTGAAGTCAAGTTCTCTAAATGAATGTCCCCTGTATCATTATGAAGGCATTGTGTAACTTACATTTAGTTGTGTTTAATCCCCAGTTGTTTTGGATACTATTGTGGAGCTCTGTGTTTTTAAAAGTCTGTTGTTGTGGTTGTATTGGCCACAGACAGAGAAGGAATTTCTGGAAGGGATGATAAACAAAGCAAAAATAAAACTGGATCTGATCAGGGGGACACTCAAATACACTTTTCCTTTGGGATAATCTTTTTTTTTCAAGACAAAAGCAAATGACATCATCAACATAATAGGAAACAGTCACTAAAAGCTACAAATATGGTTTTTGATTTGAAAAATATGTGCACTTTTTCGAGGAAATGGGAAACACAAAGTTGAACCAATGCCAATGTAGGCCTTTTTTTTAAATACTACTCGATTTTAGACCAAAAATATCAGATCTGCTATACTTTCACTCTCATGTAAATATCCCTGATGTCATATTGTATTTTCTGAATGAGCTTACTGTGAACTATGGGCTGTACAACGCAGAGACGGGATGAAGATACGTTGGCTGCAAACAGACAGAAATAACCATCTCAAGCTATATTTTGAAACACTGTTGCCTCCTCAGAAACTCTAACCTGAGGCTCAGGTTACGCACCAGCCAGACACAGACAGAGAAGGATATGTGTCTGTCAGGGTGGTGCGATCCAACCTTTTTGCCTGCTGTTGCAAAACACGTCGTAAACACACATTTAAGTGAGACAGGAATGTGCATTGGAGGTTGGCATGTTTTCTGACGCTGTAGATTCCCTCTGGTTACACGTGGGCAGAGGAGTCAGTATGCTCTTTGTTGCAAACCGCTGTGCCAAAACACTCCTCTTCCATTTCAGGGTAGCCGTGGTGACTGTGGGTCCCCAGCCCTGGGCGGGGTGCTCTCTCTGCTGTGGCATTTTCTTTTAACCTATATTTCCCACCCAGTTTACATGAAAGCCATTTGGGAAGAAAAAATCTTTGCACTCACTTTATTTTATTTTTACATGCATGCAGCTTTGTTGGATCGTTCACATCTTCCGTAACGCTGCTTGGTAAGGCCTTTGGAAACAGATTAAAAGAAATAAAAATAACCCAAGACTCCACTTCTTCTCAGAATTTAACGGGATGTAGTATCAAGTGCTGAGAGCCGGGTTTTCCCGTAGATTACAGACCGCAGAAACTTGTCTTCTGAGACAGAGCATCACGGTCCAAACCACAGCGCTGGCCTCGAGACTCTGTGAGGGGGGGGGGGGGNCTGTATCAGATCCGTTGCAGCCCCTTTTTAAGAGATTTGGGTATGAAGGAAAATAGAGAGGGTTGTGTTTTCTGACACTGGGTGAGTTCCCTGGAACACCGGGGACACATATTCATGTATAAAAGACGTACAAAAGTGCATTTTGCATGATAGGTCACCTTTAAGTATAGCACCTTGGTATACTTTAGGGCGCGGCTTCTTTGTGATTGGCAGGTCGCTACCAAGGTGTTTTCCTTGTTTCTGTTTTACAACTTTAACCCTTTCACACTGTTTTCCATTCATGAAAGTTAATTGTGACATTTTGTCTGGAGATTGTACTCAACCAGTGTCCCTTCTGCCTCCCAAGTAAAAATACAACGGAAATGGCAAAAATGCCAAACCAAACGAAAATATATGGTCCAACCAATGGGACCAAGTCTGTTTTTCTTGCCAGCTGAAATTCAAAAAATGTGTTTGTAAAACATCTTATCCTTTAGCTCTATAGATCTTACAGTTGCTAGACCTTATCAACTACAGTGGATTATAACTTCATCAGTCTGCTGTTTGTTCTAAAAGAAAAAGACAGCAAACAACCTGGGTTTTAAAAGAATGTAAGATAGTAAATAATAATGTATGTTATCTTTGCTGTTCAGCTGCTGATATTCTCTTACTTTAGGTTGTATTTGTCATGGCTTCAAATTCACTTATTCTAAAAGCAAGTGAGCTGTGGGTCCACCCTATTTTTTATAAAAACCTAATCTAAACACTCTAAGAAAAACAGACAAACTCTGCAGGGGGGATACAAAATAAACCTCAGCGGGCTTATAACAACTCTCCACTCAAAGATAAAAATGAGAAAATAAAGGTAATTTTGAATGTGTTGCTATCCGCAGAGTTTTGTGTTGGCAGTAGTTCGGACCACTATGAGCAGGCTCCAGATCAGTCCTGTTGGATTCCATGTGCTCAGCAAGAACTTCATGTTGTGTCTGATACAGGAGCTGGCACTTTGATATTTTTCATATCCACAATGATGGAGGAAGTCAGAGCTCATTATTTATTTGTTTTTGTCTTCGTGGTCAATTTCACTGTATGATTTGAAGCTTGCTGGGCTTGGATTTAAACAACAAAGACACAAACAATATTCATACTTCCCTTTAAGCCCAAACATAGCATGTTATAATAAAAAGCGCTATATAAATCCCATTTATTATCATTATTATATACTGTATCAAGTTCAATCACAGTGATGTCACCAACAGTGGGGCAAAAAAGTATTTAGTCAGCCACCAATTGTGCAAGTTATCCCACTTAAAAAGATGAGAGAGGCATGTAATTTTTATCCTAGGTATACCTCAACTATGAGAGACAAAATGAAAAAAAAAAAAAATCCAGAAAATCACATTCCTCCATGCAGATCTCCTCTAGAGCAGTGATGTTTTGGGGCTGTCGCTGGGCAACACGGACTTTAAACTTCCTCCAAAGATTTTCTATGGGGTTCAGATCTGGAGACTGGCTAGGCCACTCCAGGACCTTGAAATGCTTCTTACGAAGCCACTCCTTAGTTGCCCAGGCGGTCTGTTTGGGATCATTGTCATTAGGGATGCACCGATACACATATTTTCACTTCCGATCCGATTCCGATAACTAAATTTGGATATCTGCCGATACCGATACTATTCCGATATCTCTGATAACAGTCTTGATCTTTCAAATTATACCAGCCACTTGATGATAGACCAAAGTATACTGGCACAGGAAGCACTTAAGTAGAAGTTGTAGCCTACTAAACCTCCAAAAAATAGCCCTTACATTTATGAGGACATACATGATCATCATCTTTACTGTTAACAAACTACACGCAAGCAGGATTTCAAGTTGGCCTTCAATATTTATTCACCTCAGCAACCCATAATGGGTAAAACATTGTCTTAACAAAACAAACAAATGAAGTGCAGCAGCACTATCTGAGATAACATAACACATAAAATAACAGTGAGGCCAGGATCAACCACTTTCACTTAAACATTGTCAGGTTCTTTTTTAGGAAGATTAGCATTTCTGCCCGCTCTGCTGTCAGGCGATTTCTCTTTTCATCCACGATATTGGATTGCTGTGCTGAAAAGTCTTTCACTTTCCACACTGGGTTGAAGGGGCACTCAGGAACTTTGTGGCAACTGCAGCAATGAGGGGAAACCGAGCATGGTGTGTTGCCCAGTATTGAAAAGGGCTGTCTGCCTCACCTATAGTTGGTTCCTTTAAGAACATCTGCATTTGTGTGACCGCAGTCTGGGTACCACTACCTCCTGCAGGTTCATCATGCTCCTCCAAAAATGTTGTCATATAGACTGCTGAAGCTGCTTTTTCATTTTGCCTGGAGGAACACCAGTGCTTTGGCCCAGCTTCCATGCAAGCAATCTTCTAGCTGGCTCAGCCACCGTTGTCCCAGCATCATCAGTGAGGTGCTTGGCTCCATCTTCTCCAGCTCTTGAATCAGGAGAGCCTTCCCCCTCCCTGGCAGCTTCTCCACTTGTAAAGAATCTGACACACACACACACACAGAAGAAGAAACATTGAGTACAAGTTATACAGCTGGGCATGCAGGCAGACAAACACAAACACACACACACACACACCACACACACACACACACACCACACACAACACACACACACACACACACACACACAACACCACACACACACACACACACCACACACACACACACACACACACACACACACACACACACACACACACACACACACACACACACACACACACACACTTCCCGTTATCCAATTACTTTTAGTTTACATTAAGTTAATATCATTAGAAAATATTCACGTAAAGTTAGGGAATATGTTAACACTTGATTCAGCAGCATTTTGATGTTAAATGCAACAAAAAATGCCTTTACCTTGTCCTTGTATCGAGCGTCCACTAAAGTGGCAAGAGCATTAGAAGTGGCTCACTTCGATGTCGCTGAAACGCCGGTTGACAGCTTGGAGGGAAGCGTACCTTTTCATTGTTTTGATGCCGCTGTCGGTATGGGTATTCTCTGCGAGCAGCGTTGTAAAACTGTGACGGCTGGAATTACTTCGGCTGCAGGTGGAGGTCGCCGAGGCTGATTTTCCTGGTTAACTCCTCGAAGGGCTCCAGCGCACCAGTCGCTGTTTTTTCAAGCAAAAGCCAGGTCGTTTGGCTGACAGTGTTGCTGGTAAGTTGTGGTCGGCAGCATAGGCACACAGAGGGGTCGTTTCTCTTTCAAGATGCTCTTGATCATGTAATAGGAACTATTCCATCTAGGTCTGCACATCTTGAACCAGGCGAGAAGGGGTTCGGTCGCTGTTCCCGCTTGCATTTCACGCTGCAGGTCTTCCAGGCGAGACTGGTGCAAGTGTGAATGCTTAAAGTGAGCTACGATTTTTCCGGCTGGTTTGCCAAGGGCGTCGCTAACGCTGCGCTGTGATATGAGACCCTCATTCACAACGAGCTGCAGTGAGTGAGGAGAGAACAGCCGAGGTTAGAAACGGACATGTCTTGCATTGCTGCCCTTCATGTTGCTCGCGTGGTTGTCTCGCAGAATAGCATGTACCTTTTTCCAGTGGGAGTCCCCCAGTGTGTTTAGCATTTCTGTAATGGATGCCTGCGATTGTTGCACGGGTTGTGGGAGCCCTCTGCACTTCTTTAACTTGGAGCACGGCACTACAAAGCCTGTAGTGTCTCGCGGTCAAATCCCAGTGCACTGTAAGACTTATCACAGTGACATTGGGCAGACATCTGACGTCCAAATGTGCGTTCGTAAAGCTCAGATTGGGACTCCCTTTAACCTGTCGGGCGTAACTTGGGTTGACACTCGGTTGTAAGTTCAGGTAGCGCAGTCTCTGACAAATAATCTCCTCGATGGTAAACTATAATCTTGGCTGCAAATGTTCCATCAGGCCGCGAAAACCTTCATTTTCGACACTGATAATGGTTGGTCATCGAGTACGCGATGAAGTTCAGTACCTTCCCAGTTATTTCTTTAGCTTTCACGTTGTCTGGCGTGAGAGTTTACCTTTTCTTTCGAATGACTGTAGAAGTGACCTCCTGAACGGCTAGTCTGTGTGCTTTCAGCCCCCCTCCACCGGCTAAGAACTCATCGTGCTCTTTGGGTGGTGCTTCTGCAGGTTGTTTTTATTAGGTTTTGTAGTATTTTGTATGTCTGCAACGGAGCGTCCACCTCTGGATATAACGGCTTTGGCAAACATTTACATGTTGCTGTATTGCTTTGCAGTGAATCGAGAAGAGAAAGTTATTGCCATACAGCAGACATATTTGATGTTAGGCAAGCAAATTAGTTAGCAACTAATTACCCGGCGCCAGAGACCAGACCGCTCAACGTTCGACTGCTTGCTTGTTGGCAAACTATGCATGGAATTCTTCCGAACCGGGGACGTGCGCTAGGCTCTGTTGATCACTGAGATGGCCCCGTTTAGGAAATCCATTCCACATCTTGCAGTAGCAAAGCACAACACCGAGAACCGTGCACGGAGAATCTTTTTCAGCATAATGTGTAGGGATTCGGAAATTCAGGGGCTATGGATCGAAATTCTCCCAGATAGTGAATTAACGTTGAAATCGCTAACACCGATACCTGGATAACTTGGGGATGGACTTCGGCCCCATCCCTTAAAGCCAGACTCGCACAGTCCAGCCAAAGGATTCTTTTCGATTCCGGAGCCCGACCGGCTGCCGGGATCGCCATAGATCTTCCTCAAAAGACTGCCCGCTCGTATCCTCCAACAGCAGCTCACCGATGCAGCAGTGGCCAAATCTCCTCCTTTGTCCAAACGCAGGCAGCAGGGCAAAGCTACAAGCGCATCGCCCCCAGTCCGAGCCAGCGGCTCCCAGCCGGCAACGCGCAGATCCGCCACTCGGCAGAGGGAAAAAAAAGGAAGCCGGATGCCCCAACGAAACCGTCCTCGGTTTCGC